AACAGAAATTACGAGAAAGGAAACGTAAAGAGACCAGAAATGTCAAGCAAAGACGGCTGGAGGAGAAAATAAAGAAAAATATTGAGAAAGAATTGAAAGCCACAACGACTGAAATGAGATCGAAGGCCGAGTTTTTTTGGAGAAAGTGGAGAGAGGAAAAGTCTTTGCGTACTACGTCTCGTATGTAAGTACATGTATATTGCTCCTTATATTTAATTTGAGCAGTTTATAGAAGCAGGGTTATATCGATAGATTGCTAAAATTGTGTGTATTTACTTAATACTGTTATACTGCATTAAAGCACCCCACATTATATTCAGTATAATTCCCCCCCCCCTTATGGAGTATATTTGACCCTCCAGAATCTAAGCAATTTTGATTGAATAATATTAATATGTGCTTTTTTAACGCTGGGATTTAAGAGACCCCTTGCAGAAATGAAATATTTTTTTCCAACCTTAACAGAATTCATTTGGCAGTTCTGGCCACATCTTAGAAAACTGCATTTATAGGCAGGGGTTTATATTATTAAATGAAGTGGAACATTGACCAACAATGTAACCTAAGTATCATGCCCCAGGCCTACAGTATGTTTTCATTCGCTATGATTGATTGGCAGCGACAAATGAAGGAGGACCTGATATATTCTTTACCATGCTGCATGTAAAAAGCCAGATTCAGGCTTTTTTGTCTGATTGCCCGATTAGACAAAATCTTTTTGAATCTGCATTTGATTGAATGATGATACAGTGATCAAAACTATAATTCAAATTTTGTGTGAAATTAAATTTCCCCTGCAACATTTTCATTCAATACTCAATACAAACTTTGCTGTGGGTGGAAAGCGATGGGATGAATGTTTGATTTGGGCCTTTGTACATAGGGAGTCTGATATAAATGGTGTAATAGTATAGTATTTAGAATCCTCTGTCCCTAGTACATTTATCTTGCATGATTCATAAAAACTTTAGACACAATTGACAATTCCAATTATGGACTGAAATAGACAAGGAGATTCAAATAAATCACCAAAGCTGGAAAAGAGCATACTAAAATTAGTATATTTTCAAAGTTTGGTTGTGAAATGTTGTAAATTTTAGCTCACTTTACTAGCTTTTTTATTCCGAAGCTAGAATGTGCTCAAAATGTTCTGCTCGTTTGGAGTTACTATTGTACTGGCCAATTAAGAAGAGAAAGCAATTTGAACATTAATGGGGTACTCATGAAATGCTAGCTACAGATATGACCATATGTCTCCAACCTTTTGAAACAATAGTTTGTGCTTACAGTAGCTGTCAATTCATGAAACAACACTGTCTTGAAGATCATTTGATCTTTATATTAACCCATTAAGGGGCAGAGCTTCCACACTAATGAGTAAAATTGTCTGCCGTTAGACAAGTAAAAAATAAGTAGGGCATGCCGGGCACATTGCCACTTAATGCGTTAACTCGAGAGATTGTCAGCTTTTGTAGTTAACACATTAAGTGGCAGAGCTTCCCCCCTGACAAATGAAATAATCTGACATTAGACAAGTAAAAAAATAAGTAGGGGGCATTGCCACCTAATGCATTCAACTATAGTATACTGAATAGCAGTTATACAGCTGAACAATATTCAAGCCTAAATATTTTCAATATCAACCTGGCTATTATTTATTTAAATTTTTCTAGGTCTATCCATGAAATTGACCCAGCCAACTTGAAAATATTGTCAAGTGGACGAAAAAAAAAATTGGTGAGGGGACATTTGGCATCTGTGTAAAAAAGATGTACAGAGGGCATGTAGTTGCTGTGAAACAGTTTAAAAGCCATACAAGTAGAACTGATGTGGAAAAGGAAGCCATGATGATTAATTCATTTGATCACCCTGGTATGAAAATGATTAATTATTATGATTACAGCATACTTGAAACTTACGGCACTGTAACAGAGTTTACGTGGATAGTTGGGAGGGGTGTGTATATTCATATATTCATGTTCATATTTACATGGATATATTAATACACCCATCCCCCCCACACCACCAATTATCAATGTTGGGGATAGGCCTGTTTACCGTTAGGTATGATCATGTGGAATAATGATTAGCAGTATGGCAACTCTTCTAGCAAAACTGATCCTGAAGTTTGTATTTTCACTCAAAATTTAAAGCTGAGAAACTTCTGCTTTAATAGTTGATTGTTCATGATCAACTTCATTCAATGTCTCTGTATTCAGATTGTGTAAAATTGTACTGTACATGGAAATACAAGAAGACTCATGACTTATTTTATTTATTTATAATTTCATAATACTTTTCTTATATAAGGTTTGCCATTTCTGTTTGGTATCAATGTACAATCAAAGCCATACATATTGGTTACTGAATTTTATGGAATTGGTGGACAGTGTGCTAATAATGATATAGCTGTATATTATGGACTTGCATGCAAAACACTCTCACCTTTGAAACTGTAACTGTTACAATCACTTTCTCCGTCTGTGTCGGATGAAGACGTTGAAGAATCTTTCTTCAAACTTCTCTTCAGCTGGCGAGATTGTTTTAAAGCCATATGTCTACGGAATGTTGTTTCCGAAACGTTTTGTTCGCAGTGGTCGCAAAACACGTAACTGTTCGCCTTATCCATATCGTATTATAACTGCCACGCACTTTGGCCAAATTTATATAAACTTGTATATCAATCACTTCCGCACTTTATAATTATACTAATGAGCGAATTTGCACAATAAGAAGTCTTTCTTATTTCTTGTATATTGTCCGACAGTGTCTCGAAGTGCTTAAATTCAGGTGAAATAAAGGCGCATTATAGCATTACGTTACTCGATAATAACAAACGTATCAGATATCATCATGTTTATTTGTTACCATATAATTGTTGCAATAACAATATATTTAATCCTATTAAATTGCCGTCCTAACGGAATTAAAGTAGGTGTCAGGTTTTGTCTTCATTTAAAATCAAATTAAAGGTGATTAAATGCTATCTCTGCCTTTAATCAACATTTAAACAACTGGTTAAAGTTTATTAAACTATACGCGCACTAATGTCGGCTTTAACCCACTTTAAAATGCTCACTAAATGCAATTAAATCTATCGGTTTCCAAAAGAGATGTTTTATTCAAAATAAATGCGATTAAATGTAACTTTTTCTTTAATCACCTTTAGTCGGCTTATTAAAAGTTATAGATACGCATTTAATACCTTTAGTATTTTTGCTAAAGCTAATTAATGGCACGCTTTTCGTCCTGTGTTGCATGTACGTATAAGCCTGTTATTTCACGTGCTATACTTGTGTCTTAGAGCTCTGGAAAAACGAGGGGAACGTTGAGGAATCAACTTGAAGGATATCTCTCGCATTCGAGGACAAAAATAAGATTCAAATCCAGGAAAGATGTGAGAATTTAAATCCAGTTTTTTTATTACAAGTAAGTGTTCGTATTAAGAAAATGGGAAAATGTTTTAGTCGTTTGAAAGATGAAAAAGCAATGATATTTAAGCGGATCTTTTCTACAGATTCAGTCAAGATCTGACAGCGTACAACCTGATTTGGAATTACAAGGTGAGTCTCGAAGTTAAGGTTAGTTTCCCTTGAAAATATAGGATATGGAAATGTAATGGAGGATTTCCTGTCGCTATGAGTATAACAAGACAAATTCAATAGTCCTGACCTCTTTCTCTAAACTGTTCTCGTAAAAGAGTATGAAACAATTTCTTATGTTTTCAATGTGACAGACGCGAGAGGAACTTCTGGGGCACTCGAATCTGATTTGCACGCATTTGCAATGGAAAAAGATCTGAGTGGAAACTGCGTTGTCTTTTGGAATCACCTTTAGTTTGAAGTCCTGTATGAATGTTTAGCTGATGAACTGAAACAGGTTAGTGATAAGCCTAACTGCTCTAGCTTTTTAACAGTTCTTCATAAAGCGTCCCCCCCTTATTCCTCGATAGGAATCAAACTCAGTAACGTATCTCTGCTATCAGGTGACTATTATTTGAGAGTCTTGTTGGAACAAAACGACGAGGAGACGCCGATAACAAATGTGTGAGTCCACGACATTTATCTATCAGGGTTTGCAAATATTCAAACTACTTTCCATGTGCTTTTCTGTCTGGCTTCCCCCTATTCTCTATATTGCTGCACAGTTCACGCAATGTTATTTGTCCTGCAGAATGTAGTAGAGAAGTATAGAATCATGGATGAAACCATTCAAGATTCGATCGACTTTTCTATTTTGTTTTCAGGCTCGAGTTGTCTAACGATCTGTATCACTGATTCCTATTGACAACTAAACCAACTGTAAAAGCAATGTGCCTTCAGGTGAGGATGTCGTTTAGTGGGAATGTAGCCATGTGTAGCCTTCGAAGAATGAATTAAACAAATTGGAATATTTCATTCACAGGCGATGACTAAAGTTTATGGAAAATATCACGAAGAGATTAGAGCTTTTAATGACATTAAGCTAAGGATCATCTGTTATTGATCCAGTGTTACTGCAGGAGCCTGAACTAAACTAACTTTATTCATACTGTTTCGTATTTTTAGCATTTACATGAAAATGGCATCACTAACAGGGATTGGAAGGTAAGCACGCCCTAATTTATTTATCACTACTGTCTTTATATCCTAAACTTTAACGACCATAATTTAACTTTTTCTTCTTTAGCCAGAAAATGTTTTATTGTGTTCCTCGTATGATGAAACGCTTATAAAGGTTTGTGTCGGTTGTGTATTGAACTTGTGTTACTATAATCTCAATTCCGATTTTTTTCCGTGATTTCAGTTTACGAAAGCAGAGCGCATTCTGCAAACGTTTTAGGTTCAGTTATTTCTCATTGTTACAGATCTCAATGATAACAATTAATTTTTTAGATCAAAAATCCTATATGGAAACACTCTGTGGTACACCAAGTTACCTCGCTACCAAAATGTTAATCCCGTAGCCTGAAGAACGATCCTACAAGAAATCGTGTGACTGCTGGAGCCTGGGAGTTATACTATATGTTTGGTATGCCATATACTTCAGTTTACTCAAATTCACGTAGTGAACACGATTTGTAATGAAGCTGGAGGTAGCTTAACCTCATTTCAAAATTGGAGTACGTCAATGAAAAGTTAACGTGTTTTAGACTTTCCGGATCTTCTTTATTTTCAAAGCAGGCAAATAACCCATTGGAGAAACAAGTCAAAGAAGGGTCGTATAAATTTCCGAACAACCTCTGGAAGAATGTTAGCAGTGAAGCTAAGGATCTTATAACAAAACTGCTTACTGTTGGTCACAGAAAATGCATCACGGTTTCAGAAGCTCTGGAACATCCTTGGATGAAGGTGATGATGAAATTACTAACCGCCTTATAACACCCCGCATTTAATTGATTTTCAAAATCTGCTGACCTTTTTCGTCTGAAGTCCCAGCTTTTTCGAATTGTTAGAATTAGTTTGGTTGAAGTTTAGAACTGATACAGCTATCCAGCATAAATAAAGTCAGTTTAGTTCAGGTTTCCTCCTGTAGTAACACTGCATCAATACGGGATGACCCCTACTGGACCTCCATGAAGGACAATTTAGAACTGACAGAACTATACGGTATAAATAAAATTATTTCAGTTAGGAGAAAAAGCTTTTAAAAGTGTTAGATTGATCCACGATTTAACAAGTTTTTTTGTCTTTTGTAGGATAAAGAAATGATAGAAAAAGCAGAAAAAATGATAAAACCGACCGTGGATGGAAGATCAATGTCTCCGCTATTATAAAAGGTATGTTGAAAACTACGATACTTGTCCCGTTTTTCCGTCCAATGACCTTTATTTTCAACTCGCAATTGCAATGAAACATTACATGTTTGCAAGTTACATCGAAATTTAACCAGCTTTCCGAAACAATCTCAAGGCGCTGTTACACTACGATACTTTCCTTGCAAATTGCAAAACCATTCTACTCCTGAGGCATCTAAAGTTGTCAAATACGAACATCTATTACGATCTGCTAACGTTTCCTTAGTATTTCGAACACTCTTTAAAAATTAACATCTTTCGGAATTATAATTGCATTGCAAGTTGTAAGGAAAATTGCATATTGTATAGTAGCGCCTTCAGTAAAGTTGAAAACTCACCGTTCAATGAAACATTGCATGTCGGCAAGTTAAAAGGCAGAAAATAACTGTCACCGTACATGGTGAAGACTGGCCGACGGTCACGTTCGGCAGACGAGGCTCTGCGAGCAAATAAAATACTCAGTGGCGAAGCCAGCACGACAGTTTAGCAGCATGACTGAAAATGCTTCATGTAAGATCACATCACTAGTTATTCCGATAAATAAAAGAACAGGGGCCGGTTGTTCGAAAGGTGGATAAGTCGCTATCCAACGGATAACTCACTATCCAACGGATAAGTTTTATCCAGCGTGTGATTTGGGTTGCACGAAGCTTGTATAACTTTAACCAGAGGATAAAAATCGCTATCTACCGGATAAATTTATCCAAGGTCCGGAGGTGGTTTAAATCCACTATCCAGTGGATAAATTCAAAGATACAAGGTAACACTGTAAACATTTATATAAAAAGGACCAAAATGCAATATTCCTCTTACTGTGTTTCAACAAACTAATACACATCATGATTGTATTCACTATATATTAAAATGTTTTCGAAGTGCAATTTGTCGCAGCAGCGTTTCACGTTGCCTACACATTCCGTTCGACCGGCGATTTTTGGACATCCTCGCATTTATAACAGGTGGTAAATTTACTATATGCTTCTAATCAGTTTATAAACGCGAATATGCAAAGAAAGATTCAACCTATTCTAAGGAAACTTGCTAATATCTAAGTAATTTCATTCACGAACATTAAAATAGTGTTTCTAAATTTGCTATGGGACCGAAAGGCAAAGCGTTGCAAGGTCAAGGAATAAAATTGCAATGTGTTTAATTAATAAAATCACTATGATGTGAAGTGCAAAGTTCGAGCAAATCACTTGTTCAAGTCTTTTCCATTCAGTAACTATACTCGAGAATTCGTAATGATTATGAATTCAATGTTGTAAATGCTTAGCAACAGCTGACGTTGTGGTACGAAATTTCAGAATAATCCTGTTTTCTTCTGGTAAATTTTAACTTATATATTGGATAGCTATCCACTTCACTATCCACGCTTCCAGCAACGCGTTTTTATCCAATGGATAACTATCCAGATTTATCCGTTGGATAGGACTTATCCGTTGGATAAGTTATCCATCTTTCGAACAACCGGCCCCAGTTCCATACCTATACTTTTGTACGTGTGAAACTTTTCGCTTGATTTTCCTTTAATTGTGAGAATCCGACCGTGCAGCAAACATTGAAATAAAGTGATAACACTAAACTTGATTGTGATAGCCCTGAGTATATACCGCTATAATAGCTTTGTTCCTCATAATGATATGCTGGATTCCTCGTCCATGTATAACTTCTAAAACACGCCTTATTTTTACTTGTATTCCAATGCACCTAAGTTAGTAAAAAACCTGACAAACCCGCTGGTAGGGTGTAAAGAATTTATTTCTAAATCAAAAACTCGCTCTTACATAAGCCACTTATTGAAAAATTTTCGCTATATATTTCAGTCAGATGGATCTCTCAGTCATTTCTCATTCCTTAGTGAACAAATAGTATTTCAGTGAATTGCTAGAACATACCTGAAAAACAGCTATAAACTTCAATTCTCAAAGATATGTTGCATACCATGTCTTGGATGAATGTGCGGATGTAAAGCGCGGTTACAGTTGGTGATAGGACATTTTCCACAAGCGAGTCTCTAATGAAATGAATAATTTGTTAAACAATTAATCTTAATCACACATTAAAAGTTAGTATGACCGCATGGAAATGATGTGATGCATATAACGTGACAGGGTAATCTGTAGAAGCCTTGCTTATTAATCCAGCTAACCCTGACTAGTCCATTTATTTTGTAATGATCGAATTTTTGCCCGTCGGAACTACAAAACACAGAATAGGTCTTCACCCACTAATTATAATCACGACGACTTTGAGTGAAATCGCTCCGACAAACATCTTTCTTGCCAAATGCATTTGGTCCTGGTTATTTTTCCGTGCAGACCAGGAAGCTGCCTCATTTAAGCGACCATGTCCTGTCGACTTATCCGCATTCCCAACACTTGTTGCTATTATCTGGGATGTTATGTGTCTTCAGTACGTGGGCCAATAATTAGTATCAATTATCTTCTGGCACCAAAACACCATCGAACAATCATCAACAAAATGAAATGATAATGCATATAATTTTGCCATACACGGCTCCTCCAGAATTGAAACCAGTCGAGGTACAGCGTTATTTCCATTGACTTTGAGAAATCTTTACTTGGGGGTTAACATCGAATTTTATCACATTCCCATATAGGGGAATTACTGAATAAAAAAATAATGTCCAACAGTCCTAATATGACATAATAATAACTGAACATATACCATGTAGCCTGCAATATTTACCTTGCTTGGTATGTCAGTCCATCAAATCCATGTATGGCACAGCGATGGATGGAGGTGTAGTCAGTGATAAGAGAAAGGTAATAATTGTTAGCAACTCCTGGGTTGCCATACTTTATTTGATCTAAAATTGAAACACAAGGAACAAGTAAATTATTATATTATTGTCCAGGGTTGTGAGGCTATCAGCATTGTGATATCCCAGGTTCATGCGTACCGCTACCATGGGACAACATTCCTTAGCCAACAAATAGTATTTCAGTGAATTGCCAGAACATACCTGAAGAACCGCCATAAACTTCAATTCTCAAAGATATTTTGCCGTACCAATTCGACTCTATATGCCATAGAATCTACAATTGAGATTACAAAAACATAACTATCACACAATTGAAACTATAATTGTATATGAATTACAAGGGCCTATACAGTATAGTAACAGCATGTATTTTTGACTTCTATAACACAAGAATATACAGAACAAAATGCAGGTTGTTTTCTTTCATATTCACATAATACCCCCACCCCTGACAGTTATATATATATTGGTAAATGCAATTACATAATAGGAAAGGGAGAAAAAAAATCTATTTTTGCAGCTCTAAAAATCATATCAAATTACACAGGATTACAAAATGGAAATATAACTCGCCTTTGGAATTTCGTTATTTTCTTCGTTATTTTTTATCCTGTCGTCTTTTAACCGTTACATATAAACTGTAAAGGCATTAGTTATCTTTTATGATAGGATTTAAGTCAGGAAGGGCAGAAAAACTCGAAAAATATAGATTTTTTTATTTGTTATTGTGTATAGCGAGGCGTTGCTCAGCCGCATGCACAAGTGGTTGTCGCGTGAGGTTAGAGGTGTCAAAAACGTAATGTTGCCTACCCCGTGGGGGTAAAATAAGCCCAGAAATCGATTTCTGGGTAAAATGGTCCCTAGAGGTCATAATTGTCAAATTTTCGCTAATATGGTGATAATTATATGCACATTTTCGGGTTTCCGTTTGTAAACACATTTGTTGGAAATATCACTACAAATCGCCAAAGCAACTGTATTTCGAGTAAAATATATGAAAATATTGATCCCAATGTAAGCTACAAATATTTGGAGGTTTTAGGCGAGATTTTTGGAAGGCTTTGCGTATTTTTGCTTCTGTAACATTCAATTTAAAAGTACAAGTTCTGCAATAAATATCTTGGCTTATAGGAAAGCTTTTGAAATGAACTAAAGTTATACAAATAGGTAATGTTTTTCTTTAAGATAATACAATTTCTAGTTGAATTGATAAAACACTTCCAGATAAAACCGAAATTATCTGTGTGCGCCGTTTACGACCGGACAGCAATGAGTTTAGTGGTCTGATATTTATTAAAATAGGTGAAGTATTCGCAGAGTAATCACAAGTTTAAATGAGCTTACCACTTTGAAATATCCTCTGATCGGACGTCTAACTGAGAGGATCCCTTAAACATCGAGAATACTTCATTAACATGTGCCGCATTCTGTCCTGTTTGAGAAGGTACAAGAACTTCATCTTGGGTATTGGTTACTCTTTGCTCCGTTGGAAGTTCAATTCTGTTGTATGAGGACAACACTTGTAGTTGGTGTGATGAAAGGATGCAGATTGTCCGTTGGATTTTGTGCTTTTGTATTTGAGACAGACCACATTAGATATCAGCGCGAAATTGACACATTCATGGGATTCGAACCCATGAACTCCTAAAGAGGAGTATCCGCAAAATGTGTTCTTTGTGTGGCCAGGAAAAAGAGAGAGCTACAGGGCTTCTCCAAACCGACTGGCAGACAAACGAAACGTAGAAGGACAAGACAGTACAACACAACACAACACAAAACACACAACGGACGACACAACATCCAACAACCCACAACCCACTAACTCTGTAGCTGAAACGACAAAAAATATGGTGAGTTGTTCCTAGAAAATTAAGCATCACAATTAGCATGAAGGCAATTGCTGGCTGGGGTTTAACTGACGGCATGGATATGGGGTGGCTTCTTAGGGTTGGATACTGAAACTAAACTACGATCGTCTTTGTCTGAAAAAAACAAAAAAAAATTATTAGTAGCTCCCTAGAAAACGAAAAGCAAAACACAGTTAGACAAGCAGTGAGCCGTGTTTCCAGATACGGGGAGAGAGATTCTTAGCTAACAGTGGGGCCACGGGGTCTACTTCTATTTAAAAAATTAATTATACATACCTTGATCCTACCTAAAGAAAGAACTCACTTACCTGAGAAAAACGGTC